CTGAAAGAAAATCCAACTGAGTCAAGTTCTTGTCTTACAAATTAAAACCTGTGCAAAGACCAAAGTGCTGTTTTGTGCACATCGATTTTGGGCCCTGAACACCGCCAGAAGCCGTATTATTTCACAATGGCTAGTTTTTCTTGTTCCTTGCTTGATGGAATACTTTGAACCTATTAACTGTGTAGTTTTGTTCTGCCACAGTAATTGCTGGCAAAGTCTAGCTCAGGTTTGAATTAGCATTATAATGCAGAGAAGGCATGTTTTCAGTCAGAGCTACACTCCTGGGTTTCAATGCCAGATACCAGAAACATTAGCTCATAGGCACCACAGTTTTGTGTTGAACTCAGTCTCTTGCTAAATGATTCTTAATTTAGTGAGGACTTCTCTCTGTTTGAATACCTATCAGTTAGCATTTAATGCTAGAGGTGCCATAGATTATGCTTTGTATAGTAATGGGACTGCAGAGCCTGAGGAGGAGCGGTCGAATGATGTTAATTTCAGTACGAGGGTGGCCGGTCGTGGGAGGATACAGTTTGAAATACCAGACTTTTTTATATTTCTGCTAGTGAGCTGTATCTACCTCATACCTGATTTTACTGAGTATGACTGAAAGCAATTCCTTATCTTCTCTCATTTGCACTTTCTGCCAAAGATATTCTAAGTAGGTAGTGCATTGCTAATGATGCTGCCCTTCTGCTGTTTACCAACACATCTTCTCAACGCGGCAGAGAGAAACTGATAGAGACCAAATACAACTAGGGCATCTTGGAGCAGCCAAGTTGTATTTGTAGCAAAGTACAGTTCGTATTTTAGTCTGGTGGATGGCTCGTGTTTTTCTCCAGCAGGTTCAAAGGTCCTTGGCATTTCCGTTACATAAAGATGCAGCATCAGACACACTGAGCTTGCAAGTGAGCTGATGTTTTGTCTGTTGGTGTTCCAAAAATAAGGAAAGACGCATGATTGCCGAAGCAAATTCTTCAGAGTTCTGCCACACTTTGTGTGTTGCATCTGACAAGAAACTGAAAGCGAAATTAAGTCAAACATTAAGTCTATGCGTTATATCATCCCCTGAAGACACAGTGGCCTGCCATCAGTCATCTATTTGCTTCACTGTCATAAAGGCATATGTTGGACTTGTCCTGTCATGTTGCATTCTGTGAACTTTAAGATGGCCCTGACCTGCTTTATGTCGCCGCAGGGTGAGGAAGCTGTGGGGTGGGGAGAAGGGATGTGGGCTGGTATGCTGTGTCCCAGCATGAGTCTCTGGGGTCAGGTATAAGTAAGCGCACATGTGATATGCCGTCATCTTAATACTTACATGTTGCTACTTATTTATTTATTTACTCACTGTCATCCAATGCTCTCCTTGCATGCCCTGCCTCAGTTTCCAAAGTCCCTCTCGAGCTGTGTGACTTAATCAGTCTGACAGACTCTGGCTGCCTGGGGAAAGTCTCTCTCTCCACAGTCCCTTTCTCTTCAAGTTTACACTTTCTGTGACAAACCCATTCTGGCACCTTTCGAAATGCAGAGCTTTCTGTTGGAAAGCCCAGCATGGTTGCTTCACATACATGTATTCTAAGTTCACAAGCAAGTAAAAGTCCATGCTGCCCATAAAACATGCACCAATCCACACAGGTACATGAGGTGATGCACATACACAAGCAAAAGCAACAAAGTAGGCTGAAAATTTAAGATGTATACAATCACAAAGTCACAAATTTTGTGCCTCGCTTTACTTTCTCTTTCTTAAGTGGTTTCTCAAACTCTTCTGATGTATATAGAAAAAACGTTCTTGTTTTATTGTCATAATAGGATTTTTTCAATTACTTTTCAATGCAGTCTTATGCTTTTCAGTTCTTCAGTATATAAATTTGTTTCAATCATAATAAAAGCTGAAACTGAATAGTTCAAAATGCACAGCATTATTGCTGGCCCAGGTTCAAGGTTATGTCTATAACAGTGCTGCAGATAAACCACGCTACAGAAAATTTCCATGTGCAGCTAAGAACTCCTAAAGAGCTGCTATTCTATCTTTAATCTTGTCACAGAGAATCTCATTCAAAATAGAAATACTATAGCAATTAACAATTTCTATTACATGATGCAAATATCAACTGTCATATCCACGTCTCACAATAAAAGCTTAAATAAAACATCAACTGACTAGCCCACCGGACAGACTTTACTTTGATGAGAAATGTCATGTAGTTTTAATCCTGAAATCTCATTACACCTTTATTTGTGACTAAAGTTTTGCATGTGTTTGAGCTGCTGTATAATTTAAAGGTGTACACTTTTCTCTCTCTTCTTCCCTCAGACTGGACCCCACCTGACCTGCCTTTCATCAAAGTTCTCTTTATGGACAACTCTCATACTGATGGTACATGACAAACGTTTCCCCTGACATACCATTTCTCCATCCTCCAATCTCTTGTTGTTCTCTTCCACATGTCTAAGCATTCTAATGGCACAGGCTTCGAGGCTTTCTCTGGCCTGACAGAATCAATGGAACAATGGTCCTAAAGAGCAGGACAATCTGCAGCTTCTTTTTCTGAGGCAAAACAAGGTTACAAAAAACAGTTCTGATGGATGAGTTTTAGAAGTCTGAAAATAAACGTGCTTCAGAAAAATTTTCTCATTTTCTGGACTGAAATAAAGCAATAATGAGAACAGAACATTTTCAGTCTTAAAAAGTGGCAATGTGTTCACTTATTGGCTGCGCTTTGTGGACTTGCCATTCTTTCAGCCAGACGCTTTGCACTAATTTCAGTCTGTTTTCCTTTTATTTCTTGTCTGATAATTCCCACTTTATTTCCATTAAGCTTTGTTTGTTCACTGCGAACTGCTGCTGTAATTTATTAGGGCTGTCATTGTAAATGATGTGGCATGCCGACACGGCCCGGCACGTAGCATCGCCCCCTTTCCCTCTCTCCTTTTATGGAGAGCTGCCCTAGTTTTTGAGCATGGAGGAAGAGAGAAACATTACAATTAAGGTGGTGACATCAACCCCCCAGTGGCGATGCTCAGGGACCAGATGTCTTGTCAGAAAGATGCTGACCCTCACCTCCAGGGAGCGCTGGGTTGAAATCTGGTTCATCTCTCAGTGGGAGTAACACTACCACTGTTGTTCCACCATTAATTCAAGAAAAAAAATGAGGCTCAATTCTTTCTTACTAATTTATTGGGTTCTGGTTTTTGTGGGGATTAAATTCACCTAATTTATGTTCACTGGTCACTTTATTAGAAACAACTTACTATTGCTCAGTTTGGACGCAATTTGCTTTTAGAACTGCCTCAATTTCTTAACAGAATTAACAGTGTCAGAAATATTAGGAAGAGATTTTGGTCTAGATTGACAAAATAGAATCTAACAGATGATGGCGAAATTTTAGCTGCAAATCCATGACACCACCTCCCAATGGTGCTCTATTGTGTTGAGGTCTGATTACAGCTATTTCAGTTGAGATGCAGTGAATTTACAGTTTAAGAAGCCATTCTAAGTTGATTTACATATTGTGACAGGATGCATTATCCTACTGGAAGCAGCTGTAAGAAAATAGATACCAGTTTCCCCAAGAGTATTACAAGCCTGGCAGGTCACCAGGCTTCACACAGGTTTTTGAAATTTATTGTAAATAATTTTGTTTTACTTTTTCTTTAATACACCAGTAACATTAATAGCAAAACAGACAAAGGTATGTTTGTAGTTGATGCGCTGAATGGGTGAGAGAAACTGGTTATGCACCTCCAGATTTTTTTGTGAATCTGCTTAGATCATTTAAAATTGTCGATTCAAAAGGTGCTGTTGCAGAGCAAGTTAGCCTGCACCGGCATTTATATGATCTTTCTATGACGGCTCTTTTTAGAGAATACTGCACTAATGTACGAGTCGAGTACAAAAGCTGATCCCTCTTGCTTGACATGCACATATTAAACAAAAACTTCCAAAAGCTTGACCATAAAGCCTGAATTAGTTTCACTTTAATAGGCTTGTTTTAATATGCATTGAGTGTGAGACCGATGTGAATGCTTATCTTTGTGAACAAACTATAACTTGTGTCGTGTGTTTACATCTCACACACGCTCCCTCATATGTTCTGCTACATGGTTAGTACTGTGGCTCTGCTTGCAACTTGATAAAATGTATGTAAATGAACCTCACTCGCAAAGTATTGCCAATGTCTTGCAATAATAAATTACCATCTACTCATAGTTTCAAATTTCCTGTGAACTTTTAACATTTTTCAAAGTCTAGAGCCTGTGAACCCACATGAGGTTCACAGGCTCTAGACCCACATGAGGTCCACAGGCTCTAGAGCCCCTACCACTGGGCTTAGCATGTTTTCTCTGGGAGACCTTGGATATATTGTTGTCATAAATGTTATCACTGACATTATCAGCAACAAGATTTGGGTAGACTGTGTTTTTTTTTTTATCATTGTCAACTAAGGGGTCCAAAGTGTTCCAAGAAAATATTTCAAACATCATTAAACCACCACCAGCAGACTCGAAGCAGCAGACACACATGGATAAAAGTTTTTATGTTGTTTATACAAAGCTCCAATTGAATGTTACAGCTGAAATTGAGACTTAAGCAATCAGGTGACAATTTTACGACCTAGTCCAAATTTGGTAAGCCTTTGTCAACTGAAGCATCAATTTCAAAAAAGGCATATTTGTTTATATAGCTGCTTCTTAGTACAGGATATTTCATCTGCCTCAGACCATTCTACATAAACTCAAGAGATGTTTGTGTGTGATGACGCCTGCCATCTGGAACCAATAATCATGTAAGCTCTGATGTTACCTTTCTTCCCCATTCTGATGATTGGTTTTATCTGGAGGAAAACATCACCTCTTGATATTAAAATGCATCACATTGCTGCTATATGATTGTCTAGCTTTTAGTTTTAATATGCAATCAAACAGATGTGTCTTGAAAAACAGTAAATGATAGTATACATTATCAATCCAACAATAGCATACTTTCATGGCGAAGAGCAATTTGTAGGTGAAAAATGCTCCACCAAGAACTGATGACTGTTCTTGGTGTAAAAAAATATCTGTCCACATTAAAATAATTTCCTTGGCTTCTCAAAAGCAGATGAACACTTCTGGTCTCTCAGTCTTCCTCGGGCTCTGTTGTTTGATGGATGCCCAGTAAAAGCTGTACAAAGTGCATGTCATTTCTCTCACAGGGAGCCTTGGAGGAAATGCAATCACAAAGAGATTTTATAATCTTCACTTTTTCATTTCCAAGCTCAGGATACTACCTGTTTCTGTGGTTTTTGTCCTGCTTCCCTTGTATAAGGCAGTGGCTGCCTTTTTTTAGATCAAAGACACTTGTTTGGCTGTCTTCAAAGAGTCATAGAACTCTAAAAGTCACTTGTACTGCAGTGCTGTTCAGTCTTCATTTTATATCCAGTATGGAAGTGATGATCAAAAGGGTCTGTGTGGAGGGAGAAGCTAAAAGATGTCTGGTTTAGTAGTAAACAACAAATACCAAATCCCAGACCCACATGAGGTTCACATTAAAGAACTGTCCTTCATCCAAAGTCAGACATGAACTTGAATATGAATTTAGTATAGAAGTGTGTGAACTGATTTTGGAGGTTCATTTTTAAATGAATATAGTACATATCACATTTAAATCATAGACAGGCCACAGACATTTCCTAATTCTATTATATAGTCCATATAGGAGTAAAATGTAAATGCATTAAGAGCCTTTGAATTAAGAATCGTAGCCAACTTTGTGCCTTTATGCAGTACGGAGCATGACCATATGGGGAATTCTCTTCAGGCAGAGAGAGATTCAACATAAATTTAAGATATAGTTTCTTCACATCTGAAATAAGGCTGTACCAGAGTTTGTATAGCTGCTCTGAGCAAATTACATTTTTTAATGAAAGCCCTGTTAATAATTCACAATCATAACCTAGGGAAAGATTAGGGGCCGTGTGCCACGGGGAGGGATTCGTCGGGACCCTTGTACATCCCACTGTGAGCCTCTGGATACCATGCTGAATTTTTAATAACGGAGACACTCTGTGCTGGGACAAAGGCAATGACTCGTCCCCAGCAGATCATAGGGAAACATACATTAAAAGTCATCCAAGGGTATTTTTAAAACCAGTAATGGGGTAAATAACTCTGCTAGTCTGCCACAGGCAAACAGCACTTAGTCTTTGGGAAAAACCATTGAGACATAGTTTGAGCCAAAGCTGTTTGGAGTGAGATAGGGAAACAATGTAAAGTAATAGAATTAGCGTGCGACCAAAGTGAGGAATAATCACATTTGTGCTTGTTTGCACAGATGCACAAATTCTCCACTCAGACAGCAAATACACTGGCGTTAAGGATTAGGGCTGCAACACACAGATATGTTTTCATTTTTGACAAGAATACTCTCCCTTTTTAAATTAATTTTATATTTTCCTTTGCTGTTTTTGTTGTTCTTCATTCTCCTCTCTCTCCCCTTCCTCAAGAGCTCTATATCTTTGTTTACCTTGGAGGACTTTGTGTTGTCATTATCATCAACTGTCCTGTATTAGATAGCATTCAATGTAATGTAGGACAAAACCTTCAAGCCTTCCTTTCGGCGAAAAAAAGATCAAGACGTTAACCCTTAATGCCTCTTTCTTATCCTTCATTAAGTTCAGGAAATCTTTTTATTACATGTTCATGCTGTTACAAGTGTAACACAGGCCAATTCTTTGGAAAAAATAATTGTAATATAAGAACATATTGATTTGATGAATTACATCATTGCTATCAGAGATTGCACATCTAAATCTTATGTTCTTAAGACCAGTGCCTATGAATAGTTCATAGAATGAAAACTACACTTGACATGTCTGCTATGCAGTCAAATATATATGCTGACAACTGGCGATGTATCTTAATTTAAAGCCTGTGTAGCTAAAACAGTGTTGCACTTGTTGCTGTGTGTTTTTACAATAATGGAGGTTTAGCATTTACATTTTCTATTACTATTATTATTTTTCTGCTAAATGTTGAATCTGGATCTTGTGCATTTGGCATTGCTATTTACTTGTCCTTGTATCCAGTGTTTTTAAAAAGCAATGACTAACCGACACCCTCAAATGGTCTTTCCGTTAAATAGCCTGGTAAAATCCAGCTCCTTGTCCTGTGCTATTTGCTACGTACATAGTGTATGGGCTCTGAGCTGTTGAGAAACGATTGCTCTGGTGGCAGGGACTCTGATAAAGTTTTAAGTTCATCAGAATTTGAAACAGATTAAGTTTCTAATTTTACCCAATCGCTAACATTCGCCCGTGATGTATGTAATGTCCCAAATCGATGTTAAAAAAGCATACTGAAAATGGTCTGTGCTGTAAAAAATTGTTTTTCTCTGCAAAGGGAGAAATGCTGATCCAAATGAGGCAGCTGTTAATGTTAATTCAATATTTGGAAGTGTGTCCAACACATAGAGAATGGCTTTGTTCACTTCCTCCCCATCCATTGCTAAAACTACAGGCAGACTACAATTCTAAAACGGCGCTTTAAAATCATTATCGTTCACAACTTATCCTTCTGTTCACTAATTGGCTCCATCATCTACTGGAGACAGTTCGAGTCAGAAGGGAATAATCCAATCTGTATTGTTGGAGAGATTTTTTTTTTCAGCAGAATTATACAGGAAGGCAACGGGCAGCAGCTAACAGTGACCTCACTATTACTAACTCCACCCCTTTCTTGATGTATATAACACCTGCGTGTGTGTTCTTTTGAGAGGACAAATATGGCGGTTTGACCATCCCATCTTGACTCATCTTAGTTCTTTGTTCTTTACAAGGAGATATCCACTCAGTTGTCATTAGAGGAGCCCTTCTCTTGTAACATTATAGCTTTGGAAAAGGCTTCAATAAACTGGCATAGCTTTTAGGGCTCTCTTGCTCTTGCCACTCTAATCCAATCTCTGATGTGGAGTCTGTTCATCATTGTGCACCGCAGGCATTCTTTGTGTCGCTGTGCTCTAGGTTGCACAGGAAGTAATAGATGGCCTTGCCCTTGGTTCACCTAAGGGTCTTCCGATTCCTCTTCAGCTGTTTGTCTTGAGGTCATCCCAAGTGGGTCAGAACTGTGGTATTTTGATTTGATTTAATCAGGTTTAAAAGGTTAGAGGGGCACAGAATTTAAAGGTGTTTACCCTTCCCTGGGCTGCGAGCAAGTCCTCTGCCATTTAGCATTGGGCAGCGGCCAAAGGAAAGTGCAAAACTGAAATGACTTTTGTGCTCCTTTGTGATTTGCACTAATGTCCCCTAGGGACTGAGCAATGACCACTGCGAGGTCCCCCAGGATGCCAGCCAGATTGAAAGTCCTGCCAACAGATTTGAAAGGATTGCAAATCATTTAAACTCCAAAATGTGCATTAGCAATTTTTTTTTTTTTACTGCCAAGGCCAGCCTCCACAATATTAAATTGGACTTGATAAAATAAAATCAGTGAGTGCAAAAAGAGCTCCTCAACCTCCAAAAGAGTTAAGTGAATATTGAAGTGGTGACCAAAATAATTAATTATACAGTGATGCAATTTGTTTACTCAGGTTTCTGACATCCACTTGAACAACTCAACTGATAAAGAAATAACCTCTGATGACATTAGAAGACTTTTTGAGGTATGCTGAGGCAGAGACTTGTGGCAGTGAAAAAGAAAGTATGGATTACTGTCAGTTGATCCTGCCTGTGAAACCAAATTATTACTGTTATGAAATAGGCAGTATATCAAAGCAGGCTGAGTGAATCCCACCTTTAGTATACAAATAAAAATCATCACAAGTGCTGGGTTGAAATCAATTCTGCTATATTCTTACATTAGGATACATTAAAAATTAAAATCAATACAATTCTTTATTTAGAGCATGTTATTGAATCTACTTTTAAAAGTCCTCTCTCCCTGCTCACATACCCCAGGGTTTCTCATCTGTTATTGTGCTCTGACAGATTGCTAGTTGGTAATGCAAGGGAGGGCATACAATGTATGCATGCACAGCTCTTTCTTTATGCTGGTTCTGTTAGATGAAGCCCTGCTTAGTAAAAGTGCATTGACACAAAGGAAGAACAACATTTTCATCATCTATGTCAAGGAGTCTGAGTCACAAAGTGTTTACGGCTGGTTTAAAACAACAGAAAGACAATTGTAATATGGCCTGGTGCCAGTCATTGCAAATGTAAAAGAGTTTTGTTGAAAGGGTGGGTGGGGGCAGGGGGTGAAGTTTCTGGCTGCAATGGACTTGTGAATGGATCTCTTTTTTCCAAACTGCTTAGGTCTTTTAGTGGGAAAAGCAGGTGGCTCAAAGCCCCCTTTTTGGCATGTGGGAAAAAAACTGAACAAAAAAAGTGCCAGTTATAGACATTATTCTTTCTCAAAGCAAGCACCACCATCCCCCCACTGCCCACCCTTGGCAGATTTCAAAACTTTGGCACGGATCAAGGGTAAGTTTGTGCCGCTATTGTGTCAGATGTGCTTTGCTGAATAAAACATCTTTTGGTATCGGTGCCAGATCAAATAGCCTTTTAAAAAAGCTTTGGCTCTCATCATTGGTGTCTGACACCACAGAGGGAACAGTTTTCTCTTTCTGAACCCCGCCGTCCAGCCGTGCTTAGCAGAATTAGGATGTGAAAATAGATGCACAAAAGTGAGGAGTAAACGCGGGTGACTGTTTCACACAAGGATGCTTAACAACTGCTCACGCGAGTGGTCTTTATTATATTTGAGACAGGAAGCATACATCAGCCTCCAGATTTGCTTACAAATGGAAATGCTTCACACATTATCTGCTATGAGTATTTAACGCTCACTGTTGTGGTAATGACAGTCGGGGACACATCGGCATTCACTAACAGGTGAGGGGCTTCTGCCATCTTATATGCTGCTTGTACACATTATAAGGCTTATTTGCATTTATATTGCAATTCAAGGTTTGCAGCAGTAATTGTAAGAGCTAAGCAAACGTCCACAGATGCCGCACATCCACACACATACACAGAGAGTGTGCATGTGAAGTGTCTGGGAATAAGAACCTTCTTCTTGCTAGTCCTGTGTTAAAAATCTTCAGCATGAAAACACAAAGTGGGAGAAGCCGCAGTAAACAAGATGGGGAAGCGAATGAGCAAGATGATAGAAGTTGTGTCCTAGTGTAATATTGGGCTGTCCAAGAAACTTCCTTACAAACACCAGGAAGTTGTTATCTGATCGGCCACCCAATTCCTTCGGTGCCACCTGCACCGAAGCACCACATGCATCTTAGGGCTTTTCGCTATCATGTCGATGGATTGCTTGGCTGGTTCTCAAACAAATGTTTAGAGCACCAGTGGAGTAAACGGCTCAACAGAGGTAGGATTATTGAGCTGTTCCTTGCTCGCTTGTGATCTGCACAGATCCCACACCATCCATGAACAAATTGAACAAAAAGGCAGTAGGAGAAATCATAAATGTTGTTCATTCCTGGAAAAGTCTGCTTGGTTACAGGTAGAATGCTGTTACATTTCTAGAAGGCACAAAAGTGTCTACTTTAAAATAAGGAAACAACCAAGAATGCTCTGCATTACCACATATTATATATAACTGACACGCAGTCAAATTAAAACTTATGTCATCAGCATTCACATATTTCATGCTCACTTAGCATAAATGTGATTTTTTTTTCTCCAGTTTTATCACATTCAGAGGAAGACATGACAGCTAAATTTACATTGGGAAACTATTAGTTATGCTGACAAAATGGAGCTAATGGGTTAATCGTACACCTGAATCACACTTTTAAATACCTCACAGTCGATTTATACTAGGCTCTCCTGCTTACACGGTTTCTCACATTCACTATACCACCCTCCTCCATTTCTCTGGCTTCAACTCTTGTCGCTAACTGCTTAATTCCTCATCCTTCATCCACTAATCCCACCTCGTATCTCAACCTGCATCCTTCATTCTTCCTTTCCTACCACACATATTACTCAGATCCTCAAGCTCTCATTTTTCTTCCTTTCATCTTTATTTTTTCATTCCTCTTTTTGTACTTACATGATTTTTCCCCAAAAGCTCCTCATTCCCTCTACATGAATCCTTCATTCCCTCCTGACTTCATTCCCTATCCTTACCTCCCTCATCCTCAAACCTACTTCCAAAATCATCATCTCTCTTTCCAATTTCCTTCTTTATTTATCTCTGTCTAATTCATTCATTATTCTTCAACTCTGCCAACTTAATCCCCCATTTCTTATCCTTTAACTTTTGTCCTCCACCCCTTATTTGTTATCATTCATTCCACACTACTATCTTTCTCACCCCTACCTTCTCCAGCCCTTCACTATACCCCCGTCATCTTTTATCCCTCCCTCAATAATTCCTACCTCCCTCATGGATTATCAATGAACACTCACTTCTACATCTGTCATATTATTATTATCAGTGTTACCTCCAACTCTGCTTGTTCCTTCTTTCCTATTATGTACCCTTCATCACTACCGCTTTATCCTTGAGTTATTATTAGGTAGTCTTGACAGGTGAGAGGTTAGTGATGAATCCACCAAACTTCACTGATCTTTCTCCTTGACAATGTCCAAAAAGCTCCTCAAAACAACTTTTAAAAAGACTATCAAATGGAGTAGCTCATGTGAGAGGATGTTCAGTTTCTCCTTTAAATCTGTATAACTTCAAAATACAAAATGGTATCAAAATTAGAATGATTCAGTCACACATTAATTCCCCTTACCTTCATAAAAATTTAAAAAAGGTATGTTTTGAACTGTTTTGTTGATACTAATAAACACACCTAAAAGGATTTACATCAAAATATTTCCAAATTAGACAGCTAAGAAAGCTTTAATCTTGCTTTAGAGTGAAAACCTGCTTTTCTTATTTTATTATTGTTATTGCCAGTCCTATTTACGTATTTCAGATTACAACCTCCATAACCTCATGTTCTTATTTTTTTTTGTGTTTTGATGACAGATGTTGAGTCATGTGTGAACCTCATGCCAGTATAGAACAACTACTGCATTTTTTTAAAAATAGGGCTTTTTGCATCTTAAATAGTTCTATACAGCACACCAGATGAAAATTTGAAGGATATGGTAGGGCTGAATGAGGAAAAATTAACATTTCAGTTAAACATTTTGACAAAATACTTACTAATGTGCCAGGAGGGATTATGACAGGAGGAACAAACTTCTCATTGTGGAAATGTCTGAAGTTGCTTTGTTTTAAAGTTTGAAGCACCTGTTTTCCACAGGCGATCACAAATGCTTGAAGCAAGATTAAAAAAATAAAAATAAAAAAATCATCTATAGCTGAGAAGATGCTGGATTAGTGGATAGGAGAAAAAGCATGTTTAAAACCATCAATATCTTTCTTCTGACCTAGCTGATCCAGTATTTTGAAAAATAACACACTGATCCACCACTATTCTCCTAGCAACACTGCGTCTACGAACAAATACAACCCTGTGGAAGCCCTGTGGACAAAAACATAGTGTTTTGTTTCCTGTGTGTTAAACTGCAATTTAGAAACCAGTAATCCTTGCCATAATCTTTCACCAAATCCTGACCGGGGTTAGAGAGGGCTTCCACACTTTTTTTATATGTAACAGCTGAGCTCGCCTCAAAAAAGAGACAAAGTTTTTCAACCAGTTTGCAGATGAAATCTCAGAAGGAAAGAGATTTGACAGCAAATAGCTGAGAGAAGAGGTGCAGCTGCTCCCCTTGCCTTCACAGGTGACCCAGTGATCACAACGGCATCTGGTTGAATTACTTAACACTGCCGCCCAACAGACATGTAATCCGGGATAATGCCCTTTTGCTGAGTGCTCCAATCTGGGTAAATTCATCCCTGAGGAATGAGATCCAGCAGCGGAGTCTCAGGGAGAGAAAAAGAGAGAGAGAGATGAGAAGAGAGGTTGGGTTTGATTGGTTGGTATTACAGACAACTGCTGGCCTGAAAAGAGGGTCTTCAAGATAGATAATGAAACGTAAGCGTAAACAGCTTGATTTTGTTGACCAACTGAATAACAAGAAGCAGTTTTCCTGGAAGAGTTAAAGTTAATCATTTTTTTTTCTTTTCCTCGCTGACCTGAATCCTGACAGACTCAAATTGAGGCTTTCGTCCACACTACTGTTAGTGAATAAACCCATACATTGCTCAAGATGAACCCAGTCAGTGCAGTGTTATATGGTCCCTTCATTTACTCTATGACCAGTATATTCTTTTAAAAGTTTTATCTGCCATCAAACAGAACAGTCTTTTTGATTCCTTTTTCCACTGTCATCTAAATGCAATTGATTTTCCTTTGAAACTGCATCCCTTTGAATGTCACCCGGCTCCTGACAAACATTGGGACTTACAAGTTCCAGCTGTCCAACGGCAGCCTCTAAGATTATTTATTCATATGTTTACTTATTACCATAAATATCCAACAGGGCTCAGAGGGATTACAGTGGGCTTAATCTATCGTGGCACAGAAATGAGCAGGGGTCACAGCAACTGAGGTGATTTAAGCTGGCTAGCCTTGATGGGACATGCAGCACAAACAAGAAAACAAACTACATGTCACTGGGCTCCATCATGAGCTGATGACATCATGTGTCACTCACTGCATGGCTGTGGTGCAAGTTGAGAAAGTCGTAGTGCTAAGGCAAGGATGTGTTTTTATGTGTCCTATGGTGCATAATAACTGTTTTGAATCCCAATACTCTTTTATAAAGCAAAGCATTTTAACAGCATTTTCTGACTCTCGCCTCTTAAGGCCAAGGCTATTGGAAAGGCAACAAAATGTCTCCATGTTTTAAAAATCCAACACAAACATGGTAGGGCTCAGAGGGATCCTTTTACTTGTTAATATTTTAAAAACTTTTCATCCATCTTGCATCCTTCAATGAAATTGGGGAATGTTATCTACTTTTTCTAGTCCAAATCTGGGAGTGGCCAGTCACAAACTAAAAATCTGACTTTTTTTTTTTTTTTCTAATCAGTGAATGCATCATACATGTGTGCTGTGGGATCACACTGACAACAAAGTTCTTTAAGTGTGGAAGTTGAGAGAAGAATCCTCAAAGTTTGTGCTTTCAGTGAAGTGTTAAAAAAGTTAATGAAAGTGTGAAAATAATTTGAAACTTCTAGAAAAAATATTGTTCGTGTTCTTCTAGCTTGCCATAACAAAAATGTTAAACATACTAGCGGCACTAATCTTGTTAATCTAGTAATCAGGTTGCTCAATAATAAATAACCAATCTACATGTAAATAAAAAAAAATAAAAAAAAAGTCCATGACAGTCTCTGATAAGAGTTTAGAATGTCAACTGAGTAATAATTTTGCCTGGTCTATGACATTTTTGTAAAACATTTTCTTTATTGCTGAGCTGTGTGGAGAGTGCTCTCTCACTTACACACACATTGTTACATTGCTTATGACCCTAGCATAGATAGTGATAGTCAATCACTGTTTACAAAAATTAGTGATTTAGCAACCTAACATAAAAGCATGTTAGAAAATTTTCTTCTCAAATATGATTTCTTTACACCATCTCATAGAAGAAAAGTTCAAATGTTGAGATATTGTAAATTTCTACATTCTCAGTTATGTCAAAAAGTTTTGTTCACTACAATCTATCTTGTAAAAAGAGAAAATGTTGGCAGGTCAAGGCTTCACAAAACTTAGAAACTTCAGAAACTTCCTATAAAAATCTCTGTGCACTTTGTTCTTTAAAGAAAAAATATAAAACCTGGACTAGAAATAAGAGTACATGGTAGGTTTTTTTTTGTTGTTGTTGTTTGTTTGTTTGGGCTTTTTTTAAATAAATATCTAAATCCAAACAACATTGGAAAGACATTTAATTATTCCTTGGCCGAGAAATATGAATCATAGCTTGCTGAGGAAAAGCGGATTTAGAGACGTCAGACAGCAGTTAATAGACAGCAGTAAATGAAATAAGGGCTTTTCGGGGGGTAGTAAGACATGCTTTTCAGGACTAAAAAACAGCTTAGCCGGGCCGGGTAGCAAAGTCAGGGGTTCTGACAAGAGATGGATGAGGGGGTGAGAGATAATGAAGGTGGTGGAGGAGGAAAAGAAGGGACAGGCGATCTTTAAGAAGATTGAGTTTTAATTCCTGTGCAGTCACTCTGCCCCTAGTGGACACAGCTTCTGCCTGACTAAATGATAAGCCAAGGGAACTTGTGTGTTCTGTCACTAAAAAAGCAGATCGAAAACAGTTAATGTGACAACATGCAACTTTTTTTGACAATGTCCTAATTCTCAAACATATAGAGCATGAGTTTCTCTGAGTCTTTTTCTACTACACTGGTATAATTGTTTCCTATAATAACCCCAATTCACCCACCAAGACAGGGCACTCGATCCCTGTCTTAACAAATAAATAAAAAAATTCTGGAAAAAAACAGTTGAAGGAAAGAAGTGGAAAATCGGGAATGGAAAAAAGAGCAAATAGCAAAGATGTGATTCTCCGCAAGGTGCGGAGAGAAATCATGACACTGAGAGCCACGTTAAGAATCTGAGATGTTGCGAAGATTGGAAGATGGGATGCAGGTGGTGGTGAGAGTAGGTGGATGCTATAGTGAATAAGTTTGGCCTGAGGTGAATGTGTTCCTTGAGACCCATCTTCATGATCCTCCCGACTGGTGCTGTGTCATCTGTCACAGGCTGGAGAGGTGACAGCACAGAGAGAAGGTGCCCTAGATGTGCTAACAGCAGACGCTCGGTCTGGGAGCAGATCGAACACCTTTCCCTGTCCTTATTCTCTCCCTTCGACATGTTCGTTTTGGGCCATTTATTTCTCAAAGTTACGGGAGGAAAAAAAAACAGCATTGTTCTCCATGAATCCACTCTAAGGAGCTGTCTTAAAATACCTCACATTTTTCATGTCAAAATTCAAAACTTTGTTTCTTAATTTTCCAGAGTTCAAAATGCATGTAAAGTATAAATGAGAATAGATAAATTTAAGGCTTAAAGCATAAGAAATGAAAGTCATGACAAAAAGGAAGGACGGAAGGAAAACATGGATAGATAGATGGATTAAGACAATGAGATGGGAAATACACTTTTACTCTGTTTGTGTTTATCGTACCTATCTAGCCCCGGAAAACAAATACATTTCTGTGTATTTCCAGACTTGTTCTACCCAGTGTCTCCTACTCAGCCTCTCATTTTCACACTTTGTGGCTGTCTCACAGGACAGCTGCGTATAAGTAAGTATATGACTGCTTGGACGACAACTCTCTCTTTCCCCCTGTTCATAAAAACAAGATTGTTTCTTTTCCCCCGCAGCTTTCTGCTGACACCGACTCGACACATAAACAGAGCCGTAATTTGTACAACAGAAAGCTTTGGGGAAGCACTTCTCTTTCTCCCTGGAGGCATGCAAAGAGACGGTTGGTTGTTATATCTTGTTTACCTGGCGGGGTAAGTGATATTTTATATTATGGTAATAACTGACTTTGCTGAAATGTGCCGCAATCCCATTTCAGTCCAGTTGCAGCAGTTATCTCATTCCAGTTAAATGAAATATGGTGTTAGTTGTTCCCAGGACTGAGACTAAACCTATGATGATATGTGCATGAAATTGTGATGTATAAAGCTTAATAAACTAAGGCAAAATGCACTTATATAAAGAAAAAATAAAAGCATCAGCTTCTAACAAATACAAATGAGCACACTTTTTCTCTTGAATGCAGAAAGCAGCAGCAGAAGCAAATTTAGAAGACGCATAATACAGTGGAAGAAAGAAAACCAATGACTGATCATGTATTTATTGTGACAGTAAGTGGAGATGGAACAGGAAGAGTTGATGGTGAATTCAGGGGGACCACAAAGCAGCAAAACAAAAACACAAATGCAGCTTTTAAGATAAAGAGTGTGATGTTTTGTAACTAACTAACTCTGGCCGACCTCACACTGTCTCGATACGAGAAATCCAAAGCTGTTTATTTAAAAGAGATGCTGAGCAATGCTTAGAAACTCCAGCTCCCCCCACCGTCAGTTTCAAATTGATGAATGATTTCCAAACTGTTTCTACATAAAAATTCAGTCAGCGGAAAACACACTCTGAGTAAATTTGTTGTGTTTTATAAGCAATGTTCTGTGTTACAGACGATAAATCAAGACGTGGAACAGCTAAAGTCAGCGACGGAGCAAATGATTTGTTTACCGAGTGTTATGTGTTGCCGCTGTTTTAGCAGCGTGCACCCAACTGAGACGTAGGCTGCCGCGAAAAATGTCAACAAAGTCACTGCAGATTGAGACAGAAAGGAATTTAGCCTGCTTTCAGATCAAAGGTTACATCTGTCTGGAAAATCGACATTCTTTCAGACCAAACGCCGGTGAACTTAAGAAAGTGGTTTTGTCATTGACCCTGACCCCAGAGAAGTGCTAACTGAAGCGAGCTTGCTGTGTGCCAGTGAGAAGCCGCGAAGTGCCAAACAGCCGCTGCCTTACTGCATCGCAGGTGGAGAATTTGACTGTACTTTGGTCCTTTTATTCTTTTTAACTTCTCCTTAAGACAACCACCTGGTGGCAATCAGGGAATAACCCATCCTCATTCTATCGACCAAACGACTCTCCAAGAAAAAAAACAACAGACACTGTCCGAAAGGCTCGAGCTGCCAAGCTCTAACCTCTGATGCTCTGTTAACTTTTTTCAGACTCCGTTCTTTAAACCAGACCCCCCATAGCAAGATTCAATGGGGAGGGGGATGTCAGCTCAAAACAATGTGACGAAGGAGTGAACGCTTGACTGAACCCGACTGGGGTTAAAGGGCTTTCTGTGTGTGTTTGTGTGAGAGTGTGTGATAGGAATAATAAAGCCACATAGGAAGTATTTAGCCTTTCAGTGTCTGAAAGCTACACAAACCCCACATGTACAAAGTGGCACCTCCACACCACAGGATCCACACAGACATTTTCCCTCCTGATTCCCTCCTCTCCTGTTCGCATCAGACATCAAAGTGCACATGGCAGTACTATGCAGAAATCCGGTCAAAATAAACACAGAAGGCAACAAAAACCTGACACGTCACAGCAAGAGATGAAGACAGAGGACAAGGCTCTCAGCCAGAAAGTCACACAGCCATCACAAGCAAGGAAGATGACATAAAATTAGCAAGTTTATCTGGGGAAAACTTACTATGTCCGGAGATCCACAGGAGCAAGAGCACCCAGGAGACCATGGCAGGGGATATTGGAGAGGTCAAAACCTACGGGAAACAGTAGGCGAGAGTGAAATTGGAGTTGGCAGGCACAAAGAAATTGACAAGATGAAACGGTGCTCCTGTGCGCTTCGGGGCGATATTACAGTCCCTCAGTAGTGTCTCCTCTTTTTTTCTCTCTTTTTTTACCAGAGGAAAGCTGTTTTCTGTCCTTCTCTTCTTCCGTGTACTCTTCCTCTTCTCCTTCTCCCTCAACAGCTCTTTGCTGTGTGTTTGACTCTTCAGAGTGGCTGGGTGCCCCGATCCGCCTCACGCTCTCTCCTCTGCTGATGTGAGCTTGTGGACTTTCTGCGTCCTCACTGCTGACTTTCAGAATCCGCACGTTCACTCTTCCTCTCTCACTCACACCGTTTTGCGTTCCCCATCCATTCTCAGTCTCCAGCCTTCACTTGCCCCCCCTTCGCAACCTCCTCCTCCTCTTCTCTCTTTCCTCTCCCTCTCTTTCTCTCTTGCTCATCCCACTTACAGCACACACAGCAGTCAGTGGATGGAGCTCCAGACTCCTCCCTCGATCGCTGCCTCCCTCTCTGCCTCTCAGCCTGGCTGTCTGGGTGGCAGTGGTTCAGCGAGACTGGGGTCCTCGCTCTGGGAACCAGAGTTTCCATGGGAGAAACGGAGGAGAACCTCAATTAGAATAAGAATAGCAGTGAGACCCCTGTAGGAACAAATAACACAGACAGCAACAAAAAGGGCATTTTTCCCTCCTCCCAGTTCAGACCCTGGCTTTATGAGGGGTTTCTATAGACAGAGCAGAAAATTTGGCATCCTTGTGGTTTGATAATGATCACATTAGCATTCCCAGGAAAGGCCTTTGTTAGTACATAGATTCTTATCGGGGGCAAATCAAATTCACAGGCACTTTCTCAAGGAGCCAAATAATAAATAATTTCACGCTAAAATGCACATGTAGTCAGTAAAAACTATTTCAGATTATGCCTTTTAAATATTTCATAGCAGGCTTTTTTTTTAATGTTGTCATAATTTAAGTCTAGTGAAGTGTAAATGAGAACTTCATATTTCTTGAACTATAAAATGACATTCTATACTACTGAGCAGGAGAGGAACTTAGAGAATAAAAAACATGAATTAATTACTGAAAGTCCAAATTAAAAGAGAGTCCCATCAGGTCTATGTTCCTTTTAATTACTGATAATCTGTCAGAGCGATTTTTTGTTGTTGTTGTAGCAACAAAAGAGACGGATTCGTCCAGTTGTTTTTGCTTTACACGCAGTCTAAAGTAACAACATGACATGACGACAAACCAAGACGACAGAGTTGGACAGGGAAAAAAAACAAAAAACATTTGAATAGAATTGTCACTTTGCAAAAACTTAAGAGATTAACACAGAGGAGTAACAAAATGAGTAACCCCTCATTTAGTTTTTTTATACTTTTTTGAGTAATGTTTTCTTGTTAAATTTACTTTAACCTTTGGCTCTGGGGTGAACATCCTTTCACTTCTGAAAAAAAAAAAAAATCTGGTTGTTTTAATTGAAACATCTTTGTGTGGAATTCCATGTTTGTGGGACTTTTATGAATAATATTTGCAATTTGAAGAAAATGTGGACTACCATAACATAATTTGATCTCCAGCAAACCCGAGCTGCCACAGAAAACAGATTTATAAAAAAGAAAAAACTGAACAAGAGGATTAGCAATGCTGTATATAGCATGCATGCAGTTAAGCTCAAAATGTTCATACCTCTAACAGACTTAGATTTTAAATGGGTTTTCATTCATTCATGAAGTTTCTTTCTGAAAGGAAATGAGGCAGGCATTTCACGAGGAACTCAATTGTACATATATTTGCATTGTATTAAGAAAATAGCACGTTGAAGTTTATGTATAGTCTTCTTAAAATCCAATACAGCATTAAAAGCTTTCATCTAAATGCTGGCTACCGTTTTCCATGTTTCCACTTAAATTTTGATGATTTGTCTTTGGTGATGAGGTTTAACTCTTTGAGGGATACATGATTCTTTGACAACCCCTAAGCTTTAGTTTCTTCCACAGAATTCTGAATCAAACTCAAGTCAAGACTGTGGCCAGGTCGGTCCAAACGGTTGTTATTATTTTCAAGTCTTAACAAGCTTGTTGGTAAAATTGAAAGATTACTCACAATATAAATCTGCCAGGGATATAGACTTGGTGCTTTATGTCATATTAGAGGCCTGACAGTAATGTGACAATAGTAAATGTGTGCACTGTAAAGATTCGATCACTTCTCCATGTTACATTCTTGAAGGAGATGACATGGCATCAGAACAATACATTATAAGCCCAAGATGGTTACACAATCACTAGGTTTGGAAAAGAAAGAAAGAGGCAGCAACATTACACCAAAAACCAACACACCATTGATTTTGCTGGGAGCAATGATGGTTGTAAAATCTGACAGCTACTGGGATGAAGAATCTGTGATAACCTTGCTGACTTATATGGCAGGTTTGAGAACTTGAAGATTTAATGTTTTTATAACTGTCTTAGCCTAAGCTGTAGATGTAATAGCTGATTGCAACTTTTTTCATTCTCATTCAGAGAGCTTAAGAACAGGTGGATTAATTAAAGAACAGTGTGTTTCCTAAAACGACAACTGAAAGAGGATAAGCGGCCCACATGTAACATCAGTCAAACAGAAATGTATTTATTCTCAGAATATGTTAAAAAAAATACTTAAAACCATGTGCTGAGCCACCAAACCTTTGACCCTTGTTGACCCTAATGTGGTAACTTTAACTTTGCACTACAGTTTGCACGCAATTTTGGATTCAAGATTCTGCATATTCCTGTTTGGATGATGCCTGTAGGACGTGCTGCTTTAAAACATCCTAAACCACTTGTGGAAGATTCAGTACAATGGATGATTCATTGTTCTATTTTATAAATGTACCATTAAATCTACCTTTCTGTTACTCGTGGTCATGTAGGGAAAGATGATAGATGATAGATTTCCCATCCCCAATCAGTGTGCTAAGGTGTTTGTGTTGAACAAACACCTTAGCAAATAAATTTGTAAATAGTAAACAGTAATAGTTTGACATCTATAAAACATTACTTTGGCAACAAGAAGGTATTATCCAGAAACCTGGATTTATAGCAGATGAGTTCACTTAAGGATGACGTTTCTCTGAGACCTTCCCTCGGGACTTGGTTTTATATATTATATAACTATATGTTATACAATATATAACATGTACATATATATTAGTGCACCTGCCCATGTGCAGATGCAGTAATAAAACTCCAGAAATATTTATCAAGACCACTTTGATAAATTGCAAACATAGCCTTCTAAAAGCAAAGTATTAGGAATAGTGGTTTAATACTTTTAAGTATTAAACCACTAACACTTATCTAGAACTAAGCTAACACTTATCTAGAACTAAGTGTAAAAAAAACAAGAGTTTTTTGATGTTATTGCATTAAGCATCACCACCTAGTTATCCATACAAATAACCCTTTTACTGTAATAAAAAACAGAAAAACACCTGTTTCCCAGACTAAAAATATACCCTGTCATAGTAGTTAGTTAGTAATGGCCCATTTTGCATGTTGTTTTAACTGTACAATTTATCGGCTTTGTAGTTGCTTCTCAGTTCAAAGTAGCTCCACTGCTCATTACCCATATTCCCAGCACATTAGGCTGTTAATCCACAGCTACTGTAATTAGCACCATGGAAGCCAGTTCGATGTCATATTTCTAAAACTAAGGATATTATGCTGTTTTTTCTTTTCTTTTTTTTTTTCCAGAGGGTAAATGAAGGATGAGGCAGAGATGACAGAGAGACTATGAATGTATTTATTCAAACACAGACAGTAGGAACAAGTGCAGAAGCTGAAAATTATTTATTGTTTAAATATTCAGTTTATGAAGGTAGAGATATTTTGGGCATCCATTTACTCAAACGAACGTTTGACTAAATGAGTTATTGAATCTTTCTCCTGGACCAGCCACTGGACATCATTACACATCACAAGTTTGTAGGAAATGTAGTTTTGTTTATGTGTCAGGGCTGAAACAGACTTCATTTATTAAATACATGTTTATTTGATGCCTCTTGCTGAAGACTTGTTGATTGTGTGCTGTGATTCTTATTTTCACTCTTGATGCTATAATGTTGCAATCTGTTTGAAGTCATTTGTGTTTGAATGCTCTAAAAATCAAGCTATGTCCTCATATTTGTGTTCCCCACCCTTTTGTTTTCATTTATTGCTCATACACACTCATTCTGTACACACTTTGGAAGCTAGGTCTGAGTAAGGTCTGACCATTTGTTCCGAGTTTTTATCACTTTGTTCCTAAGTAGCCTGTTAGACTGGACCTGGAAGACTGGAAGTCCCTCCAGATCCAACGTCAGACACCCTCACCCATTCTCAGATTTTACTAAAATTTATATTAATTTAAAGGTACTGTAATGACCACTAACATTTGCATATTTTACACTGCACATTAAACATAGGACGCAAGAATTTTACACATTACATAAGTCCCTGCTGAACCTATGGAGGATAAATAGTCTCATCATAAAGACTTATTTTAAACATTTAATTTAAAACACTGATTTTTTCATTATATGCAATTATTTGTATTGGATTTATTTTATTTTTACATTACTGCAAAACTTCACCTGCAGAAATTCTACAGCACAGATTAGATCTATGGTATATCACAACGACATGTGGAAATTATCACCCGCTATTGGTTAAATGCGGGTAAAAGTTTGAAGTGGCGTGTAAATTGGAACAACTCACTCGCCACTGTGGCATGTAGACAATTTGAACAGACAGAAGCAACTGCATTTTGTTTGAACTTCTGTCCAGGGGAAGACTGATGCACATACTCTATACAGGATGGCCCGAGGTTGTAATAATTTCACAAATAAAAAACGTATATTAAATATAATTTTTATCAACAGCGAAAGCTGATTTGTTGATTTATTGACAGACATTGGGCTTATACAATGAAATACCTTGGTTCTCCTTGGTCT